GATTTGCTCGAGCGGGCCCAGTAACGTCTCCATTGGAGACTTTGTTGTTACTGTGTCTGGCATATCGAATACTCTCGGTAGCTTGCCGGGCTCTCAGAGAGGGGCGGAGGAATCGAACTCGGGTCGGCCATGTTGGCCGCTTGTAAGGCGAACGCCCTACCGCTGTGCTAGAGAAGGGAACACCAAATAAAGGGTGTTTGGAGGATCCTCCCAGGAGGGGAGATGCATGTCGAAAGTGGACTATGGACTGAACATGTTTGCCACTCAATGCCTCTTTTGCAGACCACAACACCCAAAAGGAGAGAGAGAACACAGGGGATTGCCCTGCCACAGAGGCAGGGGGGGATGGGGGGATGGGGGTATGGGGGATCTTATCCATGGTGGTGGAAAATGGGCACTGGAGGAGGGATGGGTATCTGATCATTGTATAATCGAAACCCAAGCACAAAAAATTGTAAATCTACAACTGTACCTCATGGTGTTTCACTAATAAAAAAAAATTTTTAAAAAAAACCACTGTTCTAAATAAATCATTTTCTAAATTAAAAAATAATAATAAAGGGCCTATTAGAGAGTATATTCTTCTCACTTTAAGACGTTTGTTCTTCGATTCTGTATCTTATTTTTTCCTACTTAAGTTTTGCACTGTTTTGTGTTTGTTTGATTTTTTTTTTTTGGTTTTTTTTTTTTTTGGTTTCTTTGCTTGTGCCTTCTTTTGTGACCTTACCAAGGTATTTTTTTTTTTGGTTTGGGGGGCAAGGGGGGCACATCCGGTAGTGCAAGGGAATAATTCTACCACTGAGCCATTTCTTCATCCCAGAACACATTTTTCCAACGGGTATTTACTTTAAGAACCATGGAACGGGGAGCAATAGGACAGCAGGTAGGGGCACTTGCACGGCAGGCGGCCAACCCAGGTTCAATCCCTGATAACATGTATGGTCCACTGAGTCCTGCCAGAAGTGATCCCTAAGCGCAAAGCCAAGAGTAAGCCAAGGGTAAGCCCTCTGGGCGTGGCTCATAAAAAAAGACCAAAACAAACAAACAAAAAAACGGAGCAACCATGCATGAGATTCTATCATGCATGAGATTTTGATATCAATTCCTAAAATTAGCACCACATGATTCTCACCTTAGAGCACCACCAGGTGTGGCCTCTCTCTATAAAAATAAATAGAATACTGTTTTGCAATTTGGAAAGAAAAAAACAAAGGAATATACTGCAAGTATTGAAGATAAAAGGATGAGTCATCTGTCTTCAAGGAACTCATGTAAACGTTTGGAAAAGTATTGATAATGCAGGTAGATTGCTATAACTATATAATCACAGGCAATACATGGACTGAAAGTACAAGGGGAAAAGACTCTTGTACTTTTCAGGGAAAGTAAATAAATAAATCTTTGTGGATCTGGGGAATATCAGCTCTTAAATGACTGCAAATCAGACAAGAGGGTATATATTCAAGTATGTACAAAGTTTAAATACAAATCACCCAAAGTGACCGACAAATGCATGTGAAAAAAATTTCATAAGCCTACAATAGCTTTTAAAACAAATGCAACTAATGCTCAAATAAATCTTTTTCCCTTAAGACATTTAAAGTCACTCAATAACTACTATTCACCTATAAACAGCCAACTTGAGAAACTGTACCGTTTATCATCTCTTGGAATCCCCAACACTAAGTGACCAACGTGAAAATCCCGGGTCCCAGGATAGTTGAGGAGGACCAAGGTAGAGCTGGAGTGATAGCACAGCGGGTAGGGCGTTTGCCTTGCACGCAGCCAACCCGGGTTCGATTCCCACCATCCCAAATGGTCCCCCGAGCACTGCCAGGGGTAACTCCTGAGTGCAGAGCCAGGAGTAACCTCTGTGCATCACCACGTGTGACCCAAAAAGGAAAAAAAAGAAAAGGAGGACCAAGATAAAAACAGAACAGTGGACCGCAGCACAAGATTACGTTAGGCCTGGGGAGCCACTGGTTTTCACCTCAGGTTTCACAGGTTTTCAGTTTTCATCGAGTAACTGTGAACAGCAGCATGAGACCAGGGCCAGCCATAGAAAGTGGGGTGCCACAGGAAGGAAACAAGATCAGAAAGGAGTCACAGTCAGAAAAAGGTTCAGAAACACAAATCTACAGGGAAAATGTGCTGCCCAGATCCAATTAAGAGCAGTCAACTGAAAACACACTCGGATGCCGCCATAGGCTCAAATTTTTATAAAAATTTCAGAAATCTGGACTTTGATGTGAAGTCACTGACACGTGGATATTAGCAACTAATTCAAACTTCCCAACCAAATATGACTTCCATCAACTTTTTTGCAGCTAACTCCAGACCACTAAGCTAAGTATTTCTCAGTAAAAACCAAGCTTCTTCAGTTTAGGGCTCTTACACACGTGTGTCTTCGGCTTTCACCCCGGTGCCAACCCATCTCCCACCTGCGAGAGGGTGAATCTCGTAGCACCGGTACAACTTCATAACTCACCGCACCTCAAAAATAAAATCATATATTTGATGCCCATTACTCCTCCTAGGTCGGAAGCTCCAGAAAGGCAGGTGCACTGCCGACGTGCAATACACAGGTTGCCAAGTAGTGTCGTTAGAAAATGTTCCTTTTTAAGGGGCCAGAGAGAGAGTGACACAACGCGGGTAAGGTGCTGTCTTGTTCACAACCAGCCCAAGTTCAATCCTGGGCACCACATACGTTTCCCCGAGTCGTGCTAGGAGTGATCCCTGAGCACAGAGCCAGGAAGGAGCCCGGAACACAGCCGGCTGTAGCCTAAAAACCAATAAATAGAATAAAATGTTCCTCTTCAGACATTAATGTTCCAGTAAACTCTTTAAATATTAAGCTGCCCCCAATTTTTTAGAAACACGCTCTAGTGTTTAAAGAGAAACAGACTCCGATTTAAAATATTTAAAGCTGTAACACTGACAATTACAATAACAGCAAAACTTTATTGAGCAGTGGCTAAATGCCATGAACTAAATCAAGCACTTTGCATGGCCTATCAATTTAACAATCTGTGAAATGCTGTGAATAGCATTCTTTTAAAATGCCATTACTTTTAAATAAAGTTATGGTTCCACACGACTCTGATGTCTTATGTTTTAAACTTACTTGACTGATCTCTAACTAGAACTGTCTCGTGCTGCTCAAACTGGAAGAATCCTTGGTACTATGGATGAGAACTATTTCCAGGTGCAAGCGACAACAGATAATATAACTAAAAATAAAAAGTTAACAGGCACAGAGACAATAATTCTGACCTGAATTCTCACTATTTGGATTGCTTTCAAAAACTCAGGAACCTTATAGATCTGAATAAATTCTACCATATGACACTTGAGCCAAACTATCACTATTGAAAGCTCAAGATAATAAATATGGCTCACTTACCCTCCCTTGCTATCAAAATTCAATAACCAACCTGTCACTTCAAACTCAGTACTTGGATAACGGTATCAGTAGTCCGTAGCTCCATAATTTAAGACGGGTGGCTTAGCTGTGCAAGCAGACCTTTTTCGAAGGTCTGTAATATCTACAAAGTCATAATATTTACAAAACTATCTTAAGTTCTATTTTAAGTTCTTTTGACTTAATTTCTCAATGGACATGTTTTTAGCTAGAACAATGTCTCATATGTATGTTTTTAATCCTTAGGCATTAGTATTGAAAAACACCTTAGTATGTGATAGGATACTGTAATAACAGAATTCAACAATGTTTCTAGGTGGCGGTCAAGAACTCTGAACCCAGTCTGAACACCTTTATCACAGTTTCTTTTTAAGAAAGAAGGGAGAAAAGAAGGTTTTCGTGGAAAACTTTTCAGTGTTCATTTCTCAGTCACAGACGGCATTAGATTTTTCTCACTTACAAAGTAAGGGGGGGGGGAAATAAAATGCAGGAGTATGAAAGTTGGAAATGATGGGGAAATTCCAAATGAATTCAGAATGATACGAAACCATTTCAGAAACAACCACCATAAGGTCCAGACAAAGTCAAAGAACTACTAGCTAAGCAAACAGAGGAATGAGAAGTTCTCCCCTCCACTGAAATGTGGGACCTTCCTGCATTTAGTGGAAATCCTATGATTTAGCGGGTTAGTATTCCGGCATCGGAAAAGCAATAAATCTATATTGAAAATGTTCTGAGCATTTCCTAGATCCACAACAGGGCAGAAACCGGCAGGGGGGTGGGGGAGAACAGACCCGTCTCAGACTGAGAACAAGACCCAGCCCAGGACTCGAAAGAAATTGATGCATCTTCTCAAGAAGCTGAGATGCTCCCGTTGGAATCTAAGCTTTTTTTTTTGCAGAAATCTCTAGCACAGAAGAATCCGAGCCTGTGATGCTGTCCACAAACTCCGAAAACCATTGCTAGGAAGCGGAACGGGAGAGACTTAACACACACCCTGTCTTACTGGGTACCTCGACTCTCAATTCGGACGGAGACTGCTGGTGTCCAAAGGGATTCTAACTGGAGCTCCCACCTTCTCCCAATTCTAGGTGCAGTCTCCCTGCTTCCGAGTAGGTCAAGCTGCAAAACTCCGAACCCCTGACTCCACCGGACTCCGACCGTCAAGAGCACAGACAGACTAAGCCAGGGAAGAGGAAGACAGGACCCCCCGAGCCCCACGGAACGGGAGTCCTAGACGCGACCCCCAAAACGACCCAGCTATCAGGGGCGGTGCAGAACAACACGTCCCCGGAGACCCCCGAAACCCAGAACCACAGCGGCCGCGGCTCGCGCTCCTCTCTCTTCCCCAAAGGCGGAGTCGGAGGAGACGCGGGGGACCGGCCCTCGGGGGGCGCAGAGACCCCCCTCCACGCCGGGGGGGGGCGGGGGGCGACACCGAGAGCAAACGCAGGTGCAGCTCGTCCAAGTTGCGCAGGGCGGGGAGGGGGACCGCGCGGGGACCCCCGGGCGCCCGTCCGGGCCGGGCCCCCCGCGCCACCGGTCCACGCCGGGCGCCAGGCCCGGGGGCGCGACCCACCTGTGCCGGTGCTCGTCGGGCCCGTGGATCCAGAAGGCGCCGGCGCTCCTGCCCCCTTTCCCGGCGCCCACGTGCGGGATGAGCACGTCCTCCAGGCCCAGGTCGAAGCGCTTGTGCTTGGAGGAGTCCGGGAGGAAGAAGAAGGCGCCGAAGCACAGGGTGACGAAGGCACTTAGGATGAGCAGGAGGATGAACTTCTCCGAGAGGCGCAGGGTGGCCCGGTGGTGGGGGAAGGGCGGCGGGCCCAGGCTCAGCGGCGGGATCCGGCGCCCCGACAGCGGCAGCAGGGCCGGGGTCGTCATCGCTTCCGCTCGCGGCCGCCCGGCCCGGCTCAAGTTCTCATGCCCCGTCCGGCGCGCGGCGCGGCGGGGCGCTCCGGGCCGAGGGTCGCGCCCGCGCCGCGCGAGCCCCGCGGCCCCCCGAGCGGGTCAGCAGCTCGGGGCGCCCCGGCGGGCGCGCGCTGCCATCGGGCTCCCGGCGGCCCGCGGCCCGGGGCCCCGGGGGCCGCCGCCGCCGCCGCTTCCTGGCTCGGGGAGGCGCCGCCGAGCCCCGCTGCGGGCGCCAGCACGGCGGGTCCCCGGCCCCGCGGCCCGGTCGGCGGCTCCGAGGCGGAGCCCGAGGGCGCGGGCGAGCAGGGTCTCCGGGACGGGCGCGCGGGCGGCGCGGGGTCGCGGCGGCAGGAAGCCGGGCAGGACGCGAGAGCCGGGACGCGGCGCTGGACGGGCGGCCGGCGCGAAGGGCACCCGCGCCGCGCCCGCGCCCGCGCCCGCACCCGCCGCCGAAGCTGCTGCTGCTGATGCTGCCGCTGCTGCTGCTGCTGCTGCCGCCCGGCCTCGCCGAGCGGGCGGGACTTCCGCCCCGCGCGGCCGCCGAGGGCCCGGCGTGACCTGGGGGAGGGGCGCGCGGCGGCCGCTGGCTCCTCCCCCCGCCGCCGCCGCCGCCGCCGCCGCCGCCGCCTCGGGCCTGCTCACCGGCGCCTCAGGTCGCGGGCGCGGCTCGCCCGGCGGGGGCGGGAGCGGCGCCGGGGCCCCGGGCGGGGTGGGGAGGTGCGGCGCGGGGGCCGTCGGGCAGCCGGGGGCGGCGTGGCTGAGCCCCGCGGGGCCCACGCGCCAAGGGGGACCCGGGTGGGGGCGGCCGGGCCTGCGGGCCCCGACGCGCGAGTGGGCGTCCCCGGCGGCCCAGGGCGAGGTGCGCGCGCACGCGCCGGCCCCGCCCCCGACTCCGCGCAGGCCCCGCCCCGACTCCGCGCAGGCCCCGCCCCTCCTCCGCGCAGGCCCCGCCCCGACTCCGCGCAGGCCCCGCCCCGACTCCGCGCAGGCCCCGCCCCATCCCGCGCAGGCCCCGCCCCGACTCCGCGCAGGCCCCGCCCCGACTCCGCGCAGGCCCCGCCCCGACTCCGCGCAGGCCCCGCCCCATCCCGCGCAGGCCCCGCCCCCGCCGCCGCCGCTCGGGCGTCTCCGGAAGCGGCCGCGGAGCCGGCCCGGCCGGGCGCTGTCGCGGCTCCGGCCCACGGGCCTTCTTCGGGGCGACACTCTCCTGGCGGGGCTCCCCCGCGTGCGGCCAGGGTCTCCGAAGTGGACCCCGCGGCCCGGGGCCAAGCCGATGCGCCCCCGAGGCGCCGCGCGTGGGTCTCGAACTGGCCGCGTCGCCGTCCTGGGCCGCGCGTGAGCGGCGGGGTGGGGGGTGGGGGTGGGGGTGGGGGTGGGTCGCCGCCGGGCCCCCAGGGTGCCCCCCGAGGACTCAGGGGTCGGTGGGACGGGGTCTCCACCCACGGCGGGCTGTGCGCTCTCGTCCTCACTCCTCACCTCCGCCCTAAAGGGAGGTGCAGAATCCTAAAAGATGCAGAATCCCCCGATGTGTCAGTGCTTGGGTTTTATGTTCGATTGTTTTCCTGACAAGTTGGTTCTGTTTCCCAGAGTCGTGGGGAGAGCCCTGTTGTGATTCAAGTCAAAAACGTGTGCCTCTCAGTATTCTCTCTCCATCGCCCTCCTTGAGAGTGGGAGAAGAGGCCCTTCCAGGGCAAGGAGGACTGCATCACTCCCGAGCTCGAAAGAGCAAAGAAAAAAATCCTCAAGTTCATTGCCCTGGTTCAAAGTTCACTCCGGTGGGCGCAATTTCCAGAAGCTCCACCACTGGCAAAAGAAGTCATTGTGGTCCTGGGCTGTGCTTCACGCAGTAAAGACAGGAAAGTGTTCAGGGCCACCTCTCACATGCTGTCCCAGTCATAAGGTCGCAGCACATCTGACTAGCCCGCCAGGTTTGGTGGGCAGTGTGCTCAACTGTAAACTGAAAAGCTGGAGGACCACCACATGCCTTTCGTGTTTCGGCTCTTTATTTACAGTGTGCACCGGCACAACCCTCAGGCTGATTTGCAGTGACCGGAGGGGTCCCCAGAAGCAGCGGAGGCAGCCTCCCCATCACACCTCAGTAGAGGCTAGCTGGAGCTTATGTGAATTATGATCGTTGCCCTCGGCCTCTACTCATTTCTGTCAGCTGAGTGGTAATGCCCTACATAAATGAGGTTGTTGGACAGCCAGTCCAGTCATTTATGCCTTATGGAATGAGACTTTGTGAGTTCAGCAAGTAACTCTCGCATGCAAATGAAGGGCTACTTGGAGATCTAAATTATCTGGCCCCCTTCTTCCTGCCTAACATTCCCCAATCCTTTTCAGCAGAGAGTGTTCCAAATACTTCTACGGATATGGGACAAAGGTCCATCTTGGTCCATCTTCTGGAGCTGCTGCCTGCTGGAAATAGACATCGCTTTTGTTTGTTTTCGTGATTCCTTCATTGGTCTTAACTAGCAGTGGCAGTGAAGGGTGGGTCAGGTTCCAGGATGGTCAAGCTGGCCATGGCCACAGTATTTGGCAATTCTAAAGAGAGTAGTTGGTGATGCTTTTTGAAGAAAGAGGATACTTTGGTATTTGTGGATTGGGACAAATTTGTTTACGAGCTTGAAGAAGTCACGGGGCAAAGTTAAGATCAAACTATTAGGGTGCCGAGAAAGGCAGTAACCAGGAAGATGATTCCAGTTAAGTTTCCAGGACAGTTAACTGTTGCTGGCATTCTCTTGTAGCTGTGCCTTGTCAGCTTAGTTGTACTGGCTTAGACTTGCCCACATTGGTTGATTCAAGCAACATTCTATCCGGAACATCAGGCAAGGGCCTCCAGGGGCGGTGGTAAGCATATCTTAAGCTGTGATTCTGTAAATCTTCAGCAAGAGGAGCTGCAGAGATAGTACAGTGGGTAAGACTTGCCTTGCATGTGGCCCACCCAGTTTTGGTCCCCAACATCCCACATTATGCTGCTTGAAGTAATTCTGAGCACAGAGCCAGGAGTATGCCCTGAGCACCTCTGAGTGTAGCCCCAAAACAAACAAAAACTGTACCAGGAGAATTAACTTGTGTTTTCAGGGCCAAAAGAATTTGTGCAAGTCACAGAGAGTAGTAATGGTAATTAGAAATCGTCATTCTTGATACTCTGGAAATTTCTCCAGAGCTAAAGGTGTTAAGCATCAGGTAAAAAATTGACGTATGTTCAAGTCCCAGTTTGGGTATCTGTCTGATGTCTGATTTGTGTGTATCCCTGGGATACACACATGAGAAGAATATGAAACGTCCATAATTTACAAGGCCTGGGGCCAGGACCAGAGTGATAGGAGGTAGGGAATTTGCTTTTCATGCAACTGACCTAGGTTTGATCCCCGGGACCCTGTTTGGTCCCTAAGCTGCCAGGAGTGATCCCTGAGTGCAGAGCCAGGAATAAGCCCTGATTTTCACTGGGTGTGGCCCCAAAACAATTCACAATGGCCATGAAGGCAAACAAGTTCAGGGTTCATTGTGATGTCAGTTTTCCTTGGAAAATGGCATTTTTATTAGAAACCAGCAAGTTACTTCTGTATCTGCCCCATTCTCTTGAATAGCCCAGTGAGGGGCAATACCACATCACTAATGAAGTGCTAATTTATTATAATGGGGTTCTGCTTTATTATAACGATTCTCCTTGAAGTCGCCATTGACCCCAGTTTGCACTCTGCAGTTTCTTGCAGGAAATAGATGGTTACAGAGGAAGTGAGTGGGCCTTAACCAGCTGTGTGCCAAACTTTCAGATTGATTGTTAGCCTAATTGAGGGACTTGGTAGGTGGCCTTGGAAAGTCAATGGCCATCGTGCAGAGGTAGATCCTACAGAGTCATCATTAGGGCCTCCAGAGAGGAATTTTCATTCTTTCTTAGCATGGAGGGGTACACTCCTAACAGGCTAACCATAGCAGATCTGACTAGGTTCAGGTTCTTGCAGACAGAATAGAACATGGATCACCACATGTCTTTAGTGTTACAGCTTATTTACAGCATGCCTTAGTACATATCTGACTCACCACAGCAACAACTGCAAAATCTCAGTAGTAGTCACAATAACAACAATAGTAACCACCACAATTGTCCCAACAACCACACTACACACTGTACACAGTGACCTAAGAATATATATACATATATAAACACACACATGTATATACATATCACACATATATATACATATATATATATATAACATTACTGTATCTCCAACATTTACCTGTTCTGTCATCTGAAACTTGTTACACCCTATGTGAATGACTACTTGTGGGACTAACCAGTTGTATCATATGCCTATGTAAATGATGTTGTTGAACCAATCAACCAATCAGAACCAACCAGATTGTAGATGTTTTATAGAAATGAGGGTTGGTGGGATGACCAAATTAGATATTGCATGCAACTGAGGGACCAAAGGGAAGTTTAGATTACCTGACCCCTCCCTCCTTTTCCTGCCAAACAGTATTGGCAGCAAATAGTGCCCTATTTAAAGTGAAACTTGTGTTGAGCACTTGTGAAGAATAGTTGTATCTGCCTTCCAAAAAAACATTTGTAGATATCATTATAAAAAAGTGCCAATTTTATGAATAAGTTTCTAATGCTGAGCCACTCTAAGCCACTGATTTCCTACTATTGAGGTCATTATTTTCCATGTGAACAGATGGAGAAGTAAATATTGACCTTTCGATATTTATTGAAATAACAAGTTACATAAGTATTAAACAGTAATATTACCTAAGTTAGTACCAAATCATTAAGCATTAGAAGCAATAAGAATATGAGAACATCCAAATAATCTAAATGTAATTTAACCTGGTTCAACTGTTTCAACCTGTGTGAAGACTTCTATGTCATTTGTGACCCTTACTCTCTCTTGCCCTTGCGTATTTTGTCAAGGCTATTTTTCCTTGAGAAGAAAACAAAATCAGTACTTAAATTAGGTGCTATTATATATGTCCAACTGCTGTCTGCAGTTCTGCGTCATTGATGATGCTGTCAGTTATTATAAT